CAGCAAAAAAAAAAAAAAAAACCTGTTTTGAGCATGACAGGATTTTAGAGCAAGTGCAACCTCGCCTACCCCTGGTCACCCCACATTCTGCCAAGTACCAGCCGATTTGACAGGCAAGCACCCCATACTTTTGGGGGAGAATCACTACCCTTCCTAGCTCTGGGAGGGCGGGGCACCTGGAAGTAGCCAAGCCACCTGAAACAAGGGTGAGTTTTCATACAGTTTTCAAAACTCGCTTTGAGACTGCCTTTGGATGTCAGGCACCACATGACTCCTGACCACTAAGCACCCCGAGTTTTGCTCCACCCCAGCAAAGCTCCGCACGCTCAGTCTCGGGTCTGTCCAGGACCAGCGGGAGGCGCTGAGATCCACTCATTACTCGGGCATCTCCATGCGGAGGTTGGGCGCAGACAGCATCCGCGTCCAGAGCAGGCAGCCCGCGTGAGGAGAAAGGACGAGGGTCCCAGCCATCTCCTAGCTGAGCCCTGCACTTTCCCCTGCCTGCAGATCTGGCCCCAGAGCCAAGAGGACCGTGGCCTCTCTGCACGTGCTTCCCAGCCTGGCCCGAGCGGACGGCCACGTTCAGTCGTGTTCTCTCTCAAACGACGAGTGCGCCGGTTCACTGTGCCGCCCCAGTGCTCACCCGCAGACCTCAGCCCTGCCACGCCTGAAAACCCACGTGGGAGCTCCGAACCCTCGGCTGAATCACTGGAAGTACACGGGTGAAGGCAGGACCCCGCACCAGCCACCGCGGAGCCCAGAGTCACAGTCGCTCCAGGGCGGGCGACAGGGGCATCATCACACTGGCCCGCGGGGTTGGCCGGCCTGCAGGGTAGAGCTCCTGGTACCCTGAAGGGGGTGGGAGGGGTGAGGAAGACGACCAGGGCCTTTCCTGCCAGTCCCTCTGTGCCTGGCCAGTGCCGGCAGCCCTGGTTTGGGGGTGAAGGAGCCACAGCAGAGAGGTGACGGGGGGGGGGGGGGGGACCCAGTCTGACCCCGCAGTGCACATTCATCCCAACCCGCCAGACAGACGTGAGGTGGTCTCCACCCCGCATCCTCCGAACAGGGCAGTCACTGTGGTAACACTAAGGGGCTGAAGTGTAAACACATTCTAAACTGTCTCCCTTCCCCAGGCCCTCTGTGCACACCTGCAAGCCCAGCACGCCGTGTGGAGGCAGGAGGATCGTGAGTTCAAGACCAGCCTGGGTACAGAGCGAGCTCAGGCTGGCCTAGACTACAAAACAAGACCCTGTTTCAAAACCAAAACCGAAAACACCACCCTTCTACATCTGAGCAGTGCCATGGAAAGAACCCACAGGACCACGGCCTCTGAGGAGATCGAGGCTGCGCCCCGCCAAGCACAGGCCTCCCTGTGTCAGCGGGGTCCCCAGCACCCTGTGCTATGTCTGTCCTGATGTCAGAGAGGAGCACGAGGGGGGCGCACGAATCCGGGGATCACTCTGTGCAGCACAGTCCGGGCTGCACCACCCTGCCCCTCTCTCCCTTCCTGTCCACTCTGCCCCTCGAGGTGGGCGGCTGTCCGTGGTCTCCCTTGCTCAGGATCCAAGCTGCCCCTGCAGCAAGCGCCTGAATGACCCCGGGCTCGGGGGAGAAAAACGCAGAAGAGCCAACACGGAGGCCACGGGAGCCCCTCTGCCGGCCCCTGGAGAAGCAGCATCGCGAGCCCTTGCACTGGCGGCCAGCCTTGCGGGGGTCGCCCTCGCTGGGGGGCTGGGCAGGCAGTGGGCGTGGCTGGCTGGGGGCTGCGCTGCTGGCCGTGCGGGTGGTGACAGCACTGTCCTCGCTCAGTTCTGCGCCTCATGGCTCGGTGCTCATCAGCCGCGTGCCGGGCGTCAGGAAAGGAGTGGCCCGCACGCACGTCCAGGTTGTGGGTCACAGGTGAGACGAAACTGGTGCTCCAGGGAGGGGCAGGAACGGAGCAGCGCGGGCACCCAGGGCTCACTGTGAGTGAGCGCTCCGCCGCGAGCACAGGCCCAAAGGAAGTATGTCCACTGCCAACCCTGGGGCCCCCGACAGCCGGCATCTTGAAGACATCGCCGATGCGAAGATTTGTCCAGGCCATGTGACTGTCAGCCTGGGCCAGCAGTGATCTTACTGAACTGTCACAGCTGCCTTTCTTACCAACCAGGAGCCACACAGGCAGCAGTGGGGGGCCTAGGCCGCTGCTCCAGGTGACCCCGTCGCCCTGGGGGAGGAGGATGGGGCTGTTGTCTGTGACCACAAGTGGGCATGTGACGCACGTGGGAAGATCTGGACCTTGGATGCGAGGGGTCAGCGGGTCACTGAGTGACACAGGTCCCTGCTCGGCCCCAGGAAAACGGCCTCACCTGACCCCAGGCAGGACCCTGGAGGGCCTCATGCCGAGAGAGAGACACAAACCAGACACCGAGAGAGACACCACACCATCTCGCGTGCATGTGGGCCTTATAGGGATGGCAGGAGGGTGACTTCCAGCAGCAGGGCTATGGGTGGGCAGAGAGCAGCTGGGGAGCCCCCATCAGCGCTGGATGCCAGGGCCCCAGAGGAGGGGCCAGCAGGACACGGGCAGCTCCAAGGCTGCCCAGCCAGGCCTCCGTCCCTGTCGCCTGCACCCCTGGACTTGCTCTGAGCTTCTCCCTTCCTCTCAGTTCTCCCCCTGCTGCAGGTGGGACAGGGAATGTGGGAGCACTAGGGGGACACGGCTGGCCAGCCACTCCCAGCGGGACGGGGCAGGGCCCTGTGTCACACGAACAATGGGACAGACGGGTCTCTCACTCCCCGTCCACGGATCCCTGGAGGGTTCCAGCACCGAAGACCTGGAGAGAGGCCCGCTCACAGACACGGAGAGGCTTCTCAGACTCATTTCTCTTCTCTTTTTCTCCTCTTTGTTGATCTTAGGGGCTTAAGTATGGTTTTCCTTTTTTTCTTCTTTCTTCTTTTTCATTCTTTTTCATTCTTTTTTCTTTTACTCTCTGCTTTTTCTTTTTTCCTCTTTCTCCTGCTTTTTCTTTTCCAATACGTCTATCTAATTCTGTTAGGTTTCTTTTACTCCTTAATAGAATCCTTTGTCTCATTTTTCTCTCCTTCTCATCATCCTTTTCTGTATTTCTCAAATTTTCCTTCCTTCATTTTACTCTTCTCCAATCTTTCCAGCTTTACTGTTAAGTAAATACTTAATAGTATTACTACTAAGCTTTGTAACCTTGAGACATTGAGTTAAAAGATTTTAGAGCAAAAACAATAAAATGCTTATCCAGATGAACCCATTGGAATCTCAGCAGATTTCTCAACACAAACCTTGGAGGCCAGGAGAGCTTGGAGGAAAGCGTTTGTATCAGTCAGGGTTTACTAGAGGAACAGATATAATACAAGATAAACAAATGTACAAGAAATTACAAGTTTGGCTTACAATGGTCAGCTACAGAGTTGGATGAGGAAGCGTGCAGAGGGTGTCTGCACGCTGGAGATTGAAAAGCCCAGCCCCGGGCCTGGGGCTCGCTGCAGTGTCCGTGCAAGTCCGTATCAAAAGGCTGATGGGTCTGCGACGGAATGCTGAAGAATCTACGATGAAGGCCGGAGAGCCAACACCAGGAGGCTGAAGAGTCCAGACGGAAGCCCAACAGTCTGCACCAGAAGCCAGGAGATGACCGAGCTGAAGGCGAAGACTGGAGCTCCTCCGAAGAACCAGCAGCCAGTCCTTCCACAATTCCTTTTTTTATGCAGTCTACCTGCACTGGGGGGATGGGGGTGGTCCTCCACACCCACACCCTCTGCATGCCTGCCTCTTGAATACAAAGTAAGCACTCTGGCTCCCTGCTGAGTCACATAGTTAACCTTCTAAACTTCTCAAATTAACACAATAAACAACATCCCAGAAGGGTAAGGGCGGGTCCTTTCTACCCCAAGAGGCAGAACTGCTGAGTCACTTAGCCAAAGCTCTAGACTCCCCAAGCTGACACAATGTATCAACCACAACAGTGTTTCAAACCCTAAATGAAAACAGCTTCCACCCTAGACTAAAGTATCTTGCAAAACTATCTCTCCAAGTTGATGGGGAAATAAGGTCTTTCAAGGGCAAAGGCACCAAGCCAGCTCTCAGGGGTAACCTAGAAAAAGACAAGGAAACCCAGTGCCCAAAGGCTACGGGGATGAACACAGCAGGCAGGTGAGAAAGGAGCGGAAGGGGGATCAACAACAGGAAATTAAAGCAGCAACAGGAGCAAGTCAGTACCTTTCAGTAATAACTCAGAAAACAAAACCTGAGGGAGGTGTGAAGGAATCTGACCACGGCCACCCTGGTCTGAGCAGAGGCCGCTCTCGTTAAACCCCTCCCCCTACTGAGCTTGTACACCTGCTGCAGATGGATCCTCACGGCCCGCAAGGCCCAGCAAGCCCAGCCACACCCTGTAATTCCCCGTCATTGCTCAGCCGGGCTCTTGACAAGCAGCACCCCACTCCTTGTACACCCTTAGGCCTGTCCCAGCAGAGCTGCAGCTCCCCTGTGCTGAACTCCACAGCCGCCTTTTCCATGCTGGGGACCCCGTGAAGACCCCATGGCCTGCACGAGAGTTGCTGGTCTGATCTCTGTGCCACAGCTGTTCCGTTCAGGTTTGTCTTGAAGTAAACCTGTCCTGTGAGCTCGGACCTCTGTTTCTTTCCCTTTCTCCTAACATGCAATATATGCAAGAAACACATTTAATGCAAAAGAAATTCATAGACTAAGAGCCAAAGGATGGAAAACCACACTGCACACAACAGGAGCCCAATAACAAGCAGGAGAGCTTTCTAATTTTCAGACAAAGTGGACTTCAAGCCAAAACTGATCAGAAGGCCCGGCGTGGTGGCGCACGCCTGTAATCCCAGCACTTGGGAGGCTGAGGCAGGAGGATCGTTGCGAGTTCGAGACCAGCCTGGGCTACAAAGTGAGCTCAAGGCCAGCCTGAACTGCATAGCAGACCCTGTCTCAAAAAAGAACCAAAACTGACCAGAGGAGGCAAAGAAGGTCATTACATATTGGTTAAGGGAACAATTCAACAGGAAGAGATGACTATTATAAATACATATGCGGCAAACATGGGCACACCCAACTCCACAGACAAACACTAACGAACACAAAGCAAGCCAGAATCCCCGTCAGGCTCTGCGGCTGACAGCAGAGCCCACAGGCAGGGCAGGCCGTCTAGACGGCCAGGGAACCGACCGTGCACACAGGGCCAGGCCGGGGCTCAGAGGAGGGCTCAGGGTGGAGGGAAAGGGTGTCAAAGACAAATCTGGGTACAACTCTGGGAAAGAGGGCTGGGTCTCCACGGCTTCACCCTCTCTGAGACAGGGCCCTGGAGCCCCCTCTGGGTGCTGTCTTCCTCCCAAAGTGCTTTGCCTACATTCCCTGGACCCATTTACAGCGGCCCTGCATGGTGTGTCAGTGGGTACTGTCTCTTCCTTTGTCCACTGAAGATGAAGCAACCAGACCAGTTGTTTGCCAAGCTGCACCCTCACGGCCTGCCAGGGGTGAAGCTGTTGGAGGTGGGTGTGCAGACCCCAAGGGAGGGCCTGGCCCCCACCAAATTCCACCTGAGGAGTACTCTGCTTTTGTTTTACAAGCCTGAGGACCGCTCTCATTAAAGAATAGGCTCTGAGGCTAAAAGTGCGTGAAACAGTGAACCGAACGCAGTTGAAGTCTCTTTCTTACTCCAAAATTCAGGCTGCTCAGAAAAATAAAGATGGTGGGCCTGGTACTGCAGGGTTGGAGGACGTGCTGCTCCTGCAATGAAAGATTTCCCAGAATCACTTTTCCTCTTCGCGTTGGCATTTTAGTGCCATTTAGACTGCTCTGAATTTGACTTTCAGTGTTTTTAGAGAATACAGTGGTACCTCAGCTCACAAACAATTTGGTTTACAAACGAAGTGTTTGGCAAAATTTTGGTTTTGTTTGTGAACTCTGCGTGGGGTGACAAGCACAAACATGGCCTTTTCCAGAATAGAGGAACAGGTTAAGTTCGTGCACCACAGTGACGTGCATGACTTTGGGCAGGGAGGTTCGGTGCTGCTGAGACTGGTGAGCTCCCGACAGGCCCCTGCGCACACATCAGGTGAAGGGGTGGCTGTCGTGGTGGTCCCTGGTGGTCACATGGTACTGTGAAGACCTGTTCCCAAACCAGAAATTCTCATTAAACCCTCAAAGCCATCCTGAGGTAGGTGAGGAAATAGAGTATAAATGCCTGGTGAGTCCATCCTTTCCAGGCCACCAGTCCACAGGAAAGAGCTGGGGATGGGATCTGCCCTCGGGCTCCTCACGCCGGGTGCATCTACTGCTGTTCCTGAGAGTGGGCATGAATCTGGGGCACTGGCCCCCAGCGGTGCAGCAGGTGCCAGTGGGGCACCACCCTGCCCTTTCCTCACTGCCTCAGCACACAGCTGCCAACCCCACTCCTGGTACCTTCCTCTTTTGGGTGGAGGCCTTCTCTGCCCCCTAAGGAAGAGCAGAAGTGCAGAGGGATGAGCTCCCCATTTCCTGCCACCGAGCAGCCTCTCCGGCTCCCACCTTCCCGGGTGGTAACTCAAAGGCGGGCTCTACACCTGCTCCCCTCAGTGCCCAGGGAGCTTAACCCCGCTGGCCCATGGTGCTGACAGCCTCATAATACCCCCTCCATGGCTGCCTTTTCTTCTGTCTCATTTTGCCTCCCACTTCTACTTCCAGGTCCCCCCAGTAAGTAGCTCCCATGAGATCCCTGCTTTGGGAGCCCCCAACGGGAACAGGCTACCCTATGGCTAAAAGTGAACCTAAAAAATATGGACTGTGTCTCTGTCCCCAAAGGCTGCTGCAGATTTTCTGGGCCATGTTCCTAAAATCTGAGGAGAGAAAGATTCCGGTTAGGAGCAGACGCAGCTTCGCTCGAGACCACGGCGTGTGCTACCCCATGTGCACGGGGTGTGTGCTGCAGGAAGCTCAGGACGATGGCAGTGCCGCAGGGGCCACAGCCAGGGCATCTGCATAGAGAAGGAGGCCGGAAGAGCAGGGTGTGCCGGACGCTGCACGTGTGGCTGCACAGAGACTGCACATGCACGTACCAGGGGCACGCACACAGACACGCCGAGGCCTGCGGGACACAGGCGTCCCTGAGACGGGGGCAGGCGGCGGTTCCCCTGTTCACAGACAGCCTCCCCACACCACTGTGTTACTTTTTAAAAGGGAAAGGAGAAGAAAAACTCTATTAAGTGAAACAGACGGAAAAGGCCATGGGAAAGCCTGTGCGTTTGCCTTTAGGGGAGGGGCTGCTGCCGTCTCATCTCCAGTCCCGGTGAGCTAATGCCAAGGACCCTGCTTTGAGAACCTGCTGAACACGAGACCTCCCGGCTGCGGAAGTGGGGGCTCAGTAGGGCAGGGCCTGGCAGGCTATCGGGGTCCCGCGCAGCCCGACTCTGCTCTAAGGAAGGTGCCGAAGCCGCCAGGCCCATGGAGGGCACCGCGTGGCTCGGGCTCTGCCACTTTCCTCCTCCCCTCTGCAGCGGCTGCTCCTCTGAGCCATATGGTGAGCAAAAGGAGAAGCAGCTTAATTTTAAAAGACAAAAAAGGATGGAAATCCTGCACAGCCTGAAATCTGAACTTGAGCCCGATCGACCATTGCAACAACCTGTGAAAAACCCAAGCAGAGAGAAGAAAGCTATGGCAAAGGTCCTCAAATGGGCTTAAACATCACAGGACATCAGACCACAGAGTGAGAGGGTCACCCAGCACCTGAGCCCCAGACAGCGGCCCACGTGCCCTGACTGGCATTGCCCACGTGCCCTGACTGGCATTCACAAAACTGCAGCGAGCCTGGGATATCACAGCGGCCGTCAAACCATGGTCACAGCGGACAAGGCACCATCTGGCCCTGAGGGCCGTCCCAGGGGCTGTCACAGGCAGGGCCTCGGGTGCCGGAAGCTGACGCAGGAGCCTAAGGCTCCCGCGGTGGAATAGGTTTGCAGGTCCCCCGCTCCGCTCCCAGAAGAGCTTTCAGGATGAGTGGATAAGAGGCAGGGAACGGAACAGTGCGCACTCGGAGGGAACAGCGTGGGAAGGGAGACCACAGATGACCCGGACCGGAAACATCTGCGCTCCTCCGAGGGCAGAGGCCGGAGGAGGCGGCCACCCCAGCCGCCCGTGCAACAGCTTCGGGCTCAGCTCTGTTGTTCTTCAAGGTGCAAAGTGCAGGCACTGTCTGGGTCCTGTCGGCCTGCGCTCTGTCGGAGGCTCAGGTCCCCGCCCTGTGCTTCTCAGCTAAGCCGGCCATGGCATCCTGAGGAATCTGAGCGACAAGCAAAGGAGCCCAAACTCAACCAAGGAGTGCGGACCCAGACGCCGCGGGTGACTCCCGTGGGTCCCGAAGCTGCAGTCTTCTTGAAAGTAGAATTTAGATACGATTCCCTGTCTGCTGTCTGCCCGTCTTCATTTCTTCCCTCCCGCCTCAGGACTGACTGCGCCCGAGAAGCAGGTGCTGAGGGAAGCAGCAGCTGCCTGCACCCCGGGAGCGGGCTTCGCTGCCGCAGGCCTGGCTGTCTGGGACGAGCAGCTCACAGCCAACTCACACCGGGGAGGGGCATCGCTGTGCCACAGTCCCAGGAGCTCAGCCCACTGCCCCCACCGCTCTGTCCCCACAGATCAGAGGAGGCTGAAGCAGGGACCCCTGCACCCCAAGCCTGCAGCCAGCTTCGACCGGATAATGAGCCGGCCTCATTATCAGATTAGCTGCCAGGATGAACTCTTAATAATGCACAAATTGCTATGACAACCACCCACTTTGGTATCTAAAGATAACTTCATCGTGAGGTCCTGTATCCTTACTGAAGAGACGCGGTTTCCTGCGCACTCCGGTTCTACTGCTCCCTGGTGCCCATGGGTCTGTGCCCAGCATGCCCGTCTGTGCCGGGCAGCCGTGGGCGGGGTGCAGAGCGCAGGGCGACCCTGGCTGCCAGGCTGGACGCTTTTCTGCAGGCCGGCCCCTGAGCGTGCTGGCGGAACTGCCCGGGAAGCCGGCCTGGCCAGGATTAATCCTGTGACTCACCATGGTGGGAGCCTCGGTGCATGCTGCAGGCTGAGCCGGGGGCTCGGCAGGACGAGGCGGGGCGCGGGGCGCGGGGCGCGGGGCGCGGGCCTGACTGTAATGAGCAATGAGGGAAGCGCTGAAAAATTGATGGCGCCGGCAGAGGCGCAGGCTGGCGCGCGGCAGGGGGCCGCGGGCAGAAGAAGAAAGCGCAGAGAGGAGAAATGCACACAGCAGGCGGGTTAACCCTTCCCCGCCTGGAGGGCCCCAGACGTGCAGGCGCGGTGCAGGCAGAGGCGGCTGAAGAGGCCTCCTCGCAGGGGTGACGTCCTGGGAATAGAGGCCAGGAAGGCAGTGGGGAAGTGACCGGGCCGCCCGCAGGAGGAAGCCCAGGGCGTCCAGTCCTCCCTCTGGTCACACCCAGTCGCAGGGTCACCTAAGGAACTTGGAAAGGTCAGACGTGTGCACTGGCAGCATGTGAGTCGGACCTCCCCCAAGAGGAGAGCAGGGGAGGGGAGGGAGCCCACGCGGGGGCGGGAGGAGCCCATGGCCACCTCAGGGTCCCGAGTCACCTTGCCGCACTTGAAGAGAAGAGGACACCGCAAAACTGAGACGCCGCCGGTTCAGCCTTCCCAGGCACAGGGGCGGGAGGATGTGACAGGGCTGCGGACAGAGGAGGGGGAGGAGGCAGCGAGGGCAGGTGCTGATGACACAGATGTGGGACACGCGCACACGCATGTGCACATATGCACATACATGTACGTGTGTGCGCACATCCACAAGGACAGCTCCAGGAGGCTGCGCGGGTCGCACTGGCGCTGCGCGGGTCCTGTACCCCGCTCTGCGGTCTGGGCCGCTGCAGCTGAGCGGGAGCAGCGCCTCCGGGAAGCGAGCCCGGGCCTTCTCCTCGGGGTTGGATGTTTGCAGCCTGGTCTGGCCTCAGCTCTTTCTTCACCGTGGCTGCGTCGTCGTCAGAAGGGGAAGCGTGGGAGTCCCCTGCCGGGTTCCTTGCCGCGTGACGGACGTGTGTCCCTGCGTGCAGGAAGGGGCTGGAGGTCTTTCCCTGTGCTGAGCCCGCCCTGGTCCATTCCCGGGACCCTGCCAGTCCTCCCCGCCTCAGTGGCCTGTGCGCCCCGTGAGCAGCAGCTGGGAGCAGGGCCTGACCTCCACACTCTGCCCTTCCCTGAGGACAGACAAGGTTTGTACCAGGGACCAGGCCCTCGGCAGGACGGGCCGCTGCAGCCGCACCAGGGCCAGGCCCGACGCAGGCCGAAGGCCGTTTTGTTCATTAGTTGTTTCCCGGGACAAACAGCAAGGCGGAGCTGTCTGTGCTGAGCTCCTTTAGGCCAGAGGGTGCCAGGGCCCCAGCGTGCTCCTGGGCCTGCCCGCCCTACCAGCACAGCCGCAGGACCACAGCGCTGTTCTCCGTGGCAGGGATCAGGAGCGGCGGGAGCCACACAGGACCTCTCCGTCTTCGCTCCGCTCTCTCCTGGGGGACTGCAGGGCCCTAGGCCACCTCTGCAGGCGGAATGTGAAACTTTAAAGCGCCTCGATTACAGCGGGCCTGGCTTCCTCTGCATGAGGAGGCTGCGAGAGGCACCTGGGGCGGGCACTGCCCTCTCCCCGGCCCTGGGGCATCCGGAGGGGACACGCCAGCCTCCTGGCCCCCCCACCCCCAGGACAGGAGCCGCCCGGAAATCACAGGGGGGGCAAGGGCGTGAGTGTGTATGCGCACGTGTGAGTGTGTGCGAGTGTGTGCACGCGTGTGAGTGTGAGAGTGTGAGTGTGTTGCAGGAAAGGAGCCACTGTGTGCAAAGAGACTTTAACATTGGCCAAGAGACCATGGAGCAGACCGAGGGGCGCACAGACCTGAGGACGGAGGGGTGAAGAGAGCCAGGACTGCCGTCCCCACCGGACAGGTCAGTGGTTCACGCCCCACCCCCAGCCGACAGCCAGACACGGGCGCAACACCAAGGGACACAGTGGGGAAAGAGCTGGGGCCAGACCAGGCTGCTCAGCTGAGGGTCCTGCAGATTGGGCTTTGTTAATCAAGGCCGTGTGTCACTCTTAAAACCCACTTAAGTGTTTTTAAGTACTTAAGAGGGTTAAAGTATTTTAAAATAGCGGGGTATGGTATCAAATACCTATAGTCCCAGCTACTCGGGAGGCTGAGGCAGGAGGGTCACTTGTGCCCAGGAATTTATGGCCAGCCTGGGCAGCAGAATGCAGCTGTGTCGCACACACACACTAATATTTCTGTATACATTTACCTATATTGAAAATAAATGCTTAAACATTCAATCGGGGGATGACTGTCATCCCATGGAGATCTGTGACTTAAGTCCCACAGGACATGTGGGCACAGTTAATAGAGTGTCCAGTCAACAGCGCACATGGGAATCATTGATGCCCCTACGTTTTGGGGTCCTCCCACTCTCGGGTGGATAGGTCCTGGAAATCAGCCCTGTTTTCCTTTATGTCTCTCAGTAACATTCTTGTGGTTTCGTGTTGTTTCGTATATTTCTGTTGAGTTTACCCCTAAGATCTCTATTTTATATTCCTGTCTTAAGTAGGATTTTTAAAATAAGGTTTGAAACTGACTCTTGCCAACCTGGTAAAAATCACTGATCTTACTATTCTTAAGCCTGAGCCTCAGGTTGATAGCAGGACACCTGAGAGACTCCGGCCCAGTCTAACTCCGCTTACGCTTCAGCTGTATTTGCTGGCGTCTAAACTGTTAAATAACAACATGATGTCCTCCCCAACACAGGTGGAAGCACAGAAAGGCTCCACACAAGCCGCGTTTCTTTGAGTGATTGACAGCTTGCGGTACTGAGAATTAGAAGGGGTCTTCACACGGAGCTACGTCCCCAGCTCTTTTTTCTTTTTCTTCCTTCCCTTTTCTTTCTTCTTCTTTTTCTGTTTTTTTTCCTTCTTCTCCTTCTTCTTCCCCTTTTTCTTCTTCTCTCTTCATTTTTTTCTTTCTCCTTTTTTTCTCTGAGACAGGGTCTCACCCTGTAGCCCAGGCTGGCCTTGAACTCGCTGTGTAGCCCAGACTGTCACCAGAGCCTTGTGCATCTGCTCTGTTACTCCCACTGTTACCACTGCAGAGTCCAGGTGGGTGACTTGCAAATTGTTCCCTTGGGTTTCCCTTTGCTGAGCTGGAGGCTGGGGTCACATCTTGCTTAAGTGTCTTCTCATTTTCTGTTTTTTTTAGTTAATGCTTATAAACTGCCTATGCTGAGCAGCTTTATTGCTAGTATTTAGAACCCTTAGAAAATGACTGATTCTCAGTGGTGCTTTCCAGGTGTAGCTGGCTTTTGGGTTTTGAGTCTGTTGCAAGCTTCCACCTCTTCATTTTATCAAGGATGAGAAGTTACTACCTGCTTGGCCCAGCCCCTAGTTCTTTGGCACTGGCCCGCAGTAGTTTCTGTGACCCTTCGGCAATCTCAGTCGTGGGACACCAGGAAGAACAACTAGTTAGAACAAGTGTGTCCCCTTGACTAAAGCAGTACAAGCAGCAATAACAACAGCATCAAACACAACCTAGAAAATGGCAAACTGTGGTAACTATAGATTTGCTGCCTTTAACCATATGAACTAGATTTGTGATTATATAACGAAATCTAAAACAAACCCAAAAATTGTATACAGTAAGTGAGCCCTCAATATGGGATTTTACCCTCAGGAGAGAAAATTTAAAAGGGTCAGGGTAGAGAAATAGAAGAAGAGGCAGAGAGTAGAAGCAAGGCTGGAGGACGGAGGCAGGTCACATAAACCCTGGGGAACCGGTGAAGAGGACATGTGGGAAAGAGAGAAGGAAGAAATGAAAATGAGAACAGAGCAACAACAATAAAGAAAACTAGAAGCCATCTGCACACTCATAAAAATAAGAACAAACAACCAAGAAAAAAAGCAAAACAAAAACAAGAAAGAAAGAAGAAAATAATAATTTAAAAATGTCCACCTCAAGGTGTGTCTCTGCTGCCACTGGTAGGCAATGTGGGCAGACAGAGTCCAGATCCCAGCCAGTCAAGCCCACAAACCAGCCAAAGCTTTACGTGGGGCAGGGGATCATCCCAGCGAGCCTGCGGCTCCATTTCCACTGAAGCTCAGGCTGGTTTCTGGTGGTGAGGCTGGAACCTGAACTGCTCAGCCTGCAGCAGTCCATGTCCCTACTGCCAGCTTGAACTCTGCCCCCTGACCTCCTGACAACTTGAACTCGGCAGCCTCACCCTGACACTGGGAGCCGCTAGATGGAGCCCCCCCCAGCTGCTCTGAGTTCCCAGCTCAGCGGGCCCTGCTCCAAGGAAGCTGCTGACTAACGCCCCTTCTGGGGGGCATCTGAACCTGAATAACTCACAGCCACTGCAGTCCACTGCGGGCACCGCTCTGTCCCACTGGTGTGCTCTCCATGGAGGCATCTGGGGTCACAGCAGTCACTGGGAGCCTCAGGTTTGACTCACCCTCCCACGCAGGGAGTCCCAAATCAGGGAGAAGGCACCGCCTGCCTCCTACTCCCTCTCCATTGGTCTGTCTTCACTCTCCCCATGGGCTTCAGTCCTCACTTCAGACCCTTCCTGGGTGCCGGGGACCCCCTTCCCTCCTTCTTCTCTTCCTTGTGTTGCTGTATCCCAACATCTGGACCCCAAACCTCAGAGAGGCTCTTTGTCTGCTGCTTACCACTCCACCTTCTTCCCAGAAGTCCCCAGGCTGGCCTCAGACTCCAAGAAATCCTCCTGCCCCGGCCTCCAGAGTGCTGGGATTACAGGCATGCACCACCACACCCAGCATTTAATTTTTTATTTGAGACCAGCTCTCAGTCACTGAGTTACCCAGGTTGGGTTTGAATTTGCAACCCTCCTGCCTCAGCCTCCCAGAGATTGGGATTATAGGTGTGCATCCACCACACCTGACTCAAGCAGCTATAGTGCCACCTCCTCACAGGAGGTGACTGTGTACAGTGATGAGGAAGACAGGCCTGTCGTGGGTCAGATAGACTGGTCACTGTCCATGGTTCGGGCACGTGGCATATGTGTGGTCCGGCTTTGCCCCAGCTGTCTTCACTGAGGGCCAGCGGTGGTGCCCTGGCTCCAGCGTAAGCCTGGGCGACAGCCCGGGACGCCCCCGTGTGGCGTCCAAGGAGACTGCAGTTCCCGCCTTGGGCTCTCTGGAGGCCCCAGCCACAGGAGACCCAAATCGTACCTGCCTGCAACCCTGTCCCCGCACCACCACACCACTGCTTGACTTCGCCTCCTGCCACAGCAGCCACCTCTTCCCCTTCCTCCCCCTCACCTCCCAGCTTCCTAGGGCCCCTCTCGCCAGCCTCGCTGCCTCCGTCCCCCCTCTGGACCGTTAGCCGAAGCCACAGCACAGGCGTCCCTGAGCCTCCACGAGGCCCTGGCTCCACCTGCACCTGCTCGTGGCCGGGCCGTGTGACCTGCTGTGTATGTCCAGCCCTTTCTCTTCATCCTGCCACGCTGCAGCGCTCGGGTCCGCGGTGCACCAGGCCGCTCCTCCACTCCGCTCTAGTGGTGACCGGCCAGCCCACGGGAGCTGGAGCCAGCGCCATGGAGACCCTGCCAGGGCAGCGGGGCAGGCCCAGGCTCAGAGGAGGGGGCAGGCCCACGGCAGGGGCCAGAGATGGCACAGGGGTCCCCACTTGTCCTGGACAGGTCCACTGGGGTCGGCCCAGTCAAGAGAACTGCGGGGAGAGATGGCCTGCTCTGTCTGCACCACAAGTGTCAGAGTGGATGCGGAGGGGGCGTTCAAGGACGCGTTCAGCGCTCGCCCAGGGGAAACTGAGTCAGTCTTCCTAACATCTTTTTCTTCCTACTCTACATGTTACAGGTGTTTGGGGAAAGGAGTTTACCACAGTCTGGGGGTTCAGGGTGGGGACACTGTGCTTTGCTTTAATCCAACCAGCCTTGTCCCACCTCTAAAAAGAAGTACTGGTTCAGTTTTTCCCCATCTAGGCCAACCAGTGCATGACATTTCCCTGAAATGAGACACTAGCCCAGGAATGTTCTGGTGGCCAAGTTCGGGCTGTTAAGGTGGGTTTCTGCAGGCTTCAGGCCAAAAAAACTTCTCCTGCAAAGACAGCACTCCTGTAGTGAGTCTCCTCCTCTAGACTGTGCAGCAATGGCTGGAGCAGCAGCAGCTTCAATTGCACCAGTCTTTGAGCGTCCCCTCGAAGGTGAGGCCTCCACAGAGAAGACCCAGCTGAGCCACGGTGACGTTGTCCTCTCTGTACCACCACGTCCAGCCATGAGAAGTGACACTTTCTACAGTCGAACAAGCGTTGTCCACCCGGTGGGAACGTGCTTTCTCTTGTCGTGGCTCTTAAACCACAAGACTTGCACTGCCCTGCAGATGGCAGCTGGGTCTAGTCTGTGTCCTCCTGGACACTGGATGCAGCACCGTCACCCAGCTTTGTGAGGGGCCAGCCTGCTGGGCTCCTGCCAAAGGAACACCAGCCACCCAGTGCCAGGAGCCTGGCGCTGCTGAGCCCTGGCACAAGCAGCCAGGGTGAGCAAGAGGAGGAGGAGGCTGCACAGAGCCAGGCCCACAGGAGCCACAGGCCCGGGACACGCGCGGCCACACGCCTCCCACCACAGGCCCGGGACACGCGCGGCCACACGCCTCCCACCACAGGCCCGGGACACGCGC